TCAATAGCAGTTTGTAGCAAATACAAGGCAATAATACAATTTAATATACTGCGATAGTTAAAACTAATTATTGCTATATTTTACATAATCTATTATCATATTAATATTATCTGTAGTATAGTATGAAATAGAATCTGCACTATAATTTATATATTGAATCTTATCTACCCCAATTTTGCTAAATAATTTAAAAATAACCCGCGCTTTATGCGTTCTCTGTCGCAAGTTCTCCTATATAATATCTGAAATTTATAGAAATATTTCATCATATAATTCAGTTCGTGCAGCATTATCTTCATAACTATCTACAATAAGTTGACCTACTCTATCTTCAAATACTTTAGCATAATTATACAAATTTCAAATTTCCTTTTGCTTAATTCGTTGAAGTTTCTTTTCACTACGATAAGCTGTTTGGAATAATTGAGCTAATTTTTTTTCTATAGAATCTACAGCACTCTCATTTACAATATTTACAGACACATCCATATCATCGGAGGTTATTTTTTTGAATGAATTCGGCAATTGATATCTTTTTATTAGAATTTTAGCAGATACTGGATATTTTGGCAACTGTTTTGAAGATCCTTGACTCTAAAAAAAAAAATTTTATTAATGTTAATAAATATAATTTTTTTAGATCTGCCTTATTTTGACAATCATTTCATCAACAACTCACTTAGCCGATATCACACCAAGTAACAATTTACTAATAATATATATCTGCAGCTAATAAAATGCTAATCCGAACCCTATGTGATGTCAGTTAAGTGAATTTTTGGTTAATGATTGTTGGTAAAGCAAGCAATATCGTAAATATTTTACCTTTTGTGGTTCAGATTCCAAAGAGACTAAATTAATCTCTTCTTGAGATTTAGATTCCAAAGAAACTAAATTAATCTCTTCTTGAGATTGTTCTACAGATTCAAAAGAAGGAGATTGTTTTGAAGAGGGAGAATTTGTTGAAGATGCCAAAATTGTTTCTTTACTATCAGTAAGTTGGAAGTCTTGTTCATCAATTTGGAAATTTCTTGAATTAATGTTTGATTATAATAAAATTTATTTAGTATCTTTTATAAGTTTAACCATATATAGTATAATTAATTAAATAAAATTTTCTTACTTTTGGTGTTTCGATATATTTCTTTTATTTCTTTTTGGAGCTAATTTGCAAATTTCTTTGTTAAATCCTTCTAATTCTAAAGAGCCTATAAGTTATAATAATTTAAAGATTTTTTGAGTTAAATTATAATAATATTTGTTGGTTTCTTCTATTTATGAACACTTAAAATTATTTTTTTAAGTAATAATATAATTACTTGCAGTATCCTGTGATAACTTTATTAATACTCTTGCAGCTAATTTTACATTTTTATCTGTACTGATTTCTTCATCAATTTCTTCATTATTTTCACAGAGACACTCATCTTTACTAAGCATGCATGACCAATAAGAAAGATGTTTACATGTTCAAATAATAATAGGTTCGTATAGATCAGACAAAATTTCCTTATTGCAGACAATACAAAAATCTTGTGCTTGATATTCACTAGGAATTTGTTTAAGCTTATCATAAAAATATAATTTGCACGCAAATTTTTTTAAATCTTCCATTATACAATAATAATTGAAAAAAAATTTAAAACATAAGCAAAATACATGTATTATATATAAATTACAGCTTATAAAAAAACTAATTGAATGACATTTAGTTAAATAAGTAACAACACGAATATGAAAACTATCGAATGATATATTATTAAATAAGATATGATCTATATATATGATTAAACTAATGAATGATGTATATTAAAAAACTATTGAATGATATATTATTAATAAGTTATGAACAATATACATGCTTAAACTAATAAATGACATATAGTTAAATAAACTATCGAATGACATATAGTTAAATAAACTATCGAATGACATATAATTAAATAAGTTACAAATAATGTATATGATGTAGTTAAAATACAACATAAGTATATATTATTGGACAAATAACAAAAAATAACAGTCAATTGTTTTTTTTGTCAAAATTAATGTCACTCCATGTGCTGCTGCACAGCATATGAATAAAATTAACTCTGATAAAAAAAAAACAATTGACTGTTATTTGTCGTACGTATGTTCAATAATGTTGTTATTGGATAGTTAATATGACCATGTGAAGTTTTTTCTGTGATATTTTGCAAAACTAATTACGTAATTTCATGTAAAAAATATCATAGCAAAAAAATTCACATGATCATATGAAATGTCGAATAACTAAATTTATTAGGCAGAAAATTATAGTAAGCTACTCGGTAAATCTGTTATTAGGCAGTGCCTGTCAGTATAGTAGGCTTTTATTGTGATTGGCTAGTTCTTGTAGATCATCTTGTGATATAAAATTTAACTAAACTGTCACGAACAAAAGAACTGATATATATAAAAATAACTACATTTATATCGAAGTTTTATACTATAGGAGTGAATCACAGGTCAAATACTCTGATTTCTTTGACTTAGAACTTTGAACTCCACCGAGTTATCTTTACTTTATGATACGTTTTGAACT